GTGTCCCTTCTGGACAGGCTTCGATCTTGCTTTTTTATGCATTCTATCAATCTCTGCCTTTTTATTATGGTGCTTAGGTAATTCAGATTTAATGCAATTATTGTTGTTTTTTTTTAGTATACATTTGCAATTTTGCTATTTGTTTTCTACTTTCTCTTTTTTTACTCTTATGTGTTTAAATGTTTTTTGGTATTCAATTTTAAATCATTGTTGGTTACTTTTATATATTTTTTATTTTACTTTATTTTTTGAGTCGGAGTCTCACTCTGCCACCCAGGTTGGAGTGTAGTGACTTTTAATCACAGCCTACCACAGCCTTGACCTGTTTGGCTCAGTAGATCCTCCCACCTTAGTCTCCCAAGTAGCTGGGACTACAAGCATGCTCCACCAAACTCAGCTTATATTTTAATGTTTTGTAGATACAAGGTCTGGCCATGTTACCCAGTCTGGTCTTATACTCCTGGGCTCAAGCAATCCTCCTGCTTCAGCCTCTGAAAATGCTGGGATTACAGGCAGGAGCCACTGTACCCAGCCTTTATATATACATATATTTATATATATATATATATATATATTTTTTTTTTTAGGAGTGTTTTTTTATTATTATAAAGATGTGGGGTACAATTCAGGGTTAGGTATACAAACATTGATTATGCAGATTATGCATTTATGTTGATGAGGTATGCCCTTCCCTCCCCTAGCAGTTTCCCTCAACTGCCAATCTCACCACGCCTCCCCTGACAGTTTCCCATTTTTGCCATACGCTTTCTTACAGTATTATAATTGTTCAAGGTCCACTTATGAGTGAGAATAGCCTTTTTATATTTTTTAAAGTTCTTTCTCAGTGGTTGCTTTGGGGATTATAACGTTCATTCAAACTTTTAAAAGATCTGCTTCAGCTTAATACTTACTTAATTTTGGTAAAATAATAAAATTTTGCTTTAATGTAGTTCCATTCCCTCTCTTCTCTTTAATGATTTTACTGTTATAAATCCAACAATAGTGTTATGACTATTACTTTAAATAATCTTATATATTTTATTTTTTTAAACTTATATATTTTAAATCAGTTAGGAAAAAATAGAAAAATATGTGTACTGTCTTTGATAATCACTTATGTGAGTACCTTTCAGGAATTATTCATTTTTCATCTAGTGCCATTTCTCCTTGGACCACAGGACTATTTTTAGCATTTCTTGTAAGGTAAATCTGCTGGCAGCGAATCCTCTCTCTTTTTTTTTTTTTTTATCCAGACATGTCTTTATTTCATCCTTTTTTTTTTTTTTTTTTTTTTTTGTAGTTGGAGTCTCACTCTGTTGCCCAGGCTGGTGCAGTGGCACACTCATGGCTACCCCAGTGTCAACATGATGGGCTCTGACAATCTTTCCGCCTCAGCCTTCCAAGTAGCTGGAACTACTGGCACGTGCTACCACGCCTGGCTAATTTTTTTTTTTTTATTGTAGGGATGAAGTCTCACCACATTGCCCAGGCTGGTCCCTAGCCCGCGGGCTCAGGCAACCCACTGTCCTTGACCCCCCAAGGGACTGGGATTACAGGCTGATCTTTTTTTAAATAGATGAAGTCTCACTGTGTTGCCCAGGCTGGAATACGGTGGCTGTTTATAGGTACAATCATAGTGCACTACAGCCTCTAACTACTAAACGCAAGCAATTCTTCCACCTCAGACCTCAGCATGCATAATGTATCTGGCTCTTGATCTTGAGGATACTTTTTCTGGATGTAAGATTATTGGTTAATTGTCAGCTTTCCCCCCTTCTCCAGCACTTTGAATATATCATACAACTACTTTCTGGCCTTCCTTATTTCTGAGAAGAAGTAGCTGTTAATTGTATTCATGTTCCCCTGTACATTATTATTTAAATGATAAAATACTCTTTGGTTTTCAACAGTTTGACTGTAATGTGTCTAGATGTGTTGGAGTTGGAGTTTGTTAATTATTTTGAATCTACAGATTAATATTTTTCATTTAATTTGGAAGCTTTTGGCCATTGTTTCTTCAAATATGTTTTTCTGCTCTTTCTTTCTCTCTCTTCTCCTGAAATGCCTGTTGAGTATATATTGATACACTTGATATACAACAGATCTTTGAGGCTCTGTTCATTTTTCTGCAGTCTTTTCCTCTCTTTGTTGTTTTGATTGGATAATTTCTCTTGATCAATTTTCAAGTTCATTGATTCTTTCTTCTCCAATATTGAATCTTCTGTTGAACCCTGATATAGTTTGGATGTTTGTCCGCTCCAAATCTTATGTTGAAATGTGCTCTCCAGTGTTGGAGGTGGTGGAAGGTATTTGGGTCATGGGGGGTAGATCCTTCATGAATAAGTTGGTGCTGTTTTTGCAGTAATGAGTGAGCTCTCACTTTATTAGTTTACAGAGAGCAGGTTGTTTAAAAGACTTGGCACCTCCTTCTCTTTCTCTTGCTTCTGTTCTTGCTATGTGACATGCCTGCTTCCTCTCTGCCTTCAGCCATGATTGTAAGATTCCTAAGGCCTCACCAGATCACAGCAGATGTTGGTGCTATGAGGACCTTTAGCCAAAATAAACCTCTTTTCTTTATAAATTACGCCGTTTCAAGTATTTCTTTTTTCTTTTTTTTTTTGAGTTGGAGTCTCACTCTGTTGCCCAGACTGGAGTGCAGTGGCCGCTCCCGGCCACCGCAGC